GAATCACTTCCGGTCGGGTGCGCCATCTAACGGGGCCCGCCAATCAACATACCATCAACCCGTCAAACTTCAAACTTCCCCCGTCTGATCCACCATCAGAGCACGCGGTGGATCTAGCGGTTCCCGCCAATCAACATATACCATCAACCCCGTTCAAATTTCCCGCCGTTTGATCCGCCAATCAGAGCACGCGGTGGATGTGGTGGGCGTGGCCAAAAAGTGGAAGTGGTGGGGGGGCGCCCAGAGTGCACCAGTATCTACTTATTATTATATATTATTATTGTTATTATTTTTCTGTTTATTTTGATTTTTACTAAGAACGTCGGTCAAAATCACCTTTGACTCTACATAGGTTTAAACCACTTTTCACTGCGAAGAATAAGAACTGCTTTTAATCGGTTATGAGTTTTGACTGAACATATGCACTCCTATGGGCAAGCCGATGGCTTTCTTTCTCTAGAAACTACTCACTTTATATGCTTTTTATGATAATAGGTCCAGACATGGCGATGTTTCCATTTATCACTAGTCGGGCCTCCCTGTTCGAGAGTGGCTGCAACCACCAGTGACCACAAGGCAGCCACAGCATCCCTTTCGCACAATTAGGTTAGGGAGGACATCCTTTAAAGTCGAGGCGGACACGCCGAGATAAATAACAAACAGAAAGCTGTTAGCGAAAAGGACAAAAGGGCCGGCTGCTGGCTGCATCCACAATGCGAATCACAAAGCAAATGGCTGTCGGTGTCGCCTGCGAGGTTGCAGTGCAGCTGCAGCAAGTTTGAAATTCGAAGTTCTGCGTCAGGAGGATGACATACGGGATGTGTCACAAGTTACCAAGATGTCCAGGGACGGCGCAGGCGACTCAGAAGATATTGAAGAAGGGAGCAGATGTGAGAAGTGCAACATATTTGAATACTGCAGGTAACTTGGAGTACTCAGTTCCTAGATAAATACAAACGCTATCTGGATTTTTTTTTTGCCGTAAATATACTGTCTCAAACGACACGAAACCACAAATACTAAAACAGGATGTCATCTTGACATATCCTGCTACCGCCACAACGGGAACGAGGCGTCACTTTGAAAACTTTTTCGGTAAGAATGCAATCATCGATAATCATTTACTATGATACGTAAAATCTTCATGGTAATTATTTGAAACTGTTTGTTATGTGTCGTTGTGAGTTTACAATGTTATCTTGATTTTGTGAATTTATTTAGAATAAAAATGTGACATGGAATTTTAAATTCGATGTCATGTTAATTAGGAATAGGCAGCTTAATGTGCGAATTGTGGGTTCACGCGCTTGTAGTGCTTATGACTCTGGTGTGTACGAGTATAATCTGTGATTATTGTAAGAACAGTAACTAAGAACACTAAACTAGCGTTCGGGCTAAATACTGATTGTGGTTATTGTGACTGATTACTTAATAATTAATAATTAGAAGCTATTTTTGTTAAACAGATTAATCACCAAAGACTGTAAAACGGTTACAAAGTTGAGGAATTTATTAGTTTCTTAGAAAAGTGTAACCAAATTATCAAAAAAGGTTATTATAATTTGGAACACTATATCAATACATATATGCATAATTTGGAATACTATGTTATATTCCAACTTATAATCACCTTTTTACCCTAAATAAATTTTACCCTTTTGTAGTTTTTTTACTTTGATAAATATTTTGATGGGATTCCTGGTTTTTGATCTGTTTGATTGTTATATCGTTAAAATCTAATGATTTTCCAATAATTTTTAGGCATTTTTATTTTGCTATCCCTTGTATATTACAATTCATTGCCGAAAAACAAACCAGTATTCCAACATACTACGTTGCCCATCATCAAGATAACATCCAGAGAGGCGCAATTAAAATCTCACTTGGCTTACAAGGATGACACATTTGTGTCATATTCCTCATCATGTAACAAGATTTCTAAAAAACATACTCTCTGAGTTTCTAAACACCTTGTATAGGTCATGCACAAATGTGAAAATGTTGGAATTGCAAAAAATGGCTTGAAGTAAGTAGACTACTTCCCACGCTACGCTGTCTTCAGTTCGAAAATGATTATGTTAGCATTGAATAAAAAATTAAATGAACTTCCGCCCCCTGAGCACCACCATGCTCAGCGTACATAGATTACAGCAGTACGGAAGCGATTGCCGACTGTGACGTATGACCACCGACGACGACGGTTGTCCGTCGGAGGACCACGTCCCACGTATCGTCACCCGACTGTACGAGTTTAAAGGGTAAGTGTACGGGGACATCTGTGATGAGGGGTTAGTGGCACAGAAATATACCAAGGTCAAAGAATTTAGATATGTCCTCCCCATCATCTGCAACCCCTAAGCCAATTTTTAACCTCTACAAAAAAATCCGAAAATGATTAGGATCATCTGAAACAGTAAAATACGAAATATGAGCGATTTTTATTGTTTGTTTTTAACCTTCCACTATCGTTGAACTGAGTTTCAACAATTACATAGCTTTTTCATGAAAATCACAGTGGGTACTTCTCAGTTAAAGGCGGTTATAAGATTAGCGGACAGACAGACAGACGGAAATGAGTGACATGGTTTTACGTGGTGTAACATCCGAAAAACATAAATATCTGATTTTCGAATTTTCGCGATTTCAATACTTTCCCGCCAGTAGGCGTGGGAAGTGAAAACGATATTTGGCACTCTATCTACAAGAATGACTACAAGCTGTCCAAGTTGAGTGTTCTTTTCGTACCCGCTGCTCCAGAAATATGGTATACCTAACTTCTTCCTTTGAAAGGTGGCCCAACGAAAAGGTTCACCCCCAATATTCTCCTGGTATATTCTGGAAAAAACACTCGGAAATGTCAAGTTTGATTTCTAGGGGACGTGTTTTCATCTATAGCTGTACAGAGTGATCCAAAGTCACCTTTAGATTTTCAAATGGAAGTCCCATTTTTTCCATTTTCGATTGAGTTTTTAGTAACCTTTGCATAATAAAGTTGATACCTATATTCAATCGTTGTGAACCTATTTGAGCTTATAATAAAATTCGAATTACTTAATACTGATAATAATAAAAAAATAATCCTGGATACCAGGATAGAATCAATCAGTGTCATCGTATGTCTTAGATGTCTTTCATTTCAAATTGTTAAGTTATCTACCTAATTGTGATAAATATTGAACAATGGCTTATTTAACTCAAGAAAGGGTAGAAATAACAAAATTGTATTGCCAAAATGTTACAAATCCAGACAAAAAAAGTATGTGTCTACTCGCTGTAATCGCCATCGAAAAATCGACCATTAGGAATGACGCCGCAGAAATAGCAGTTTCATAACACGTACCACTTGACAACACCCAAAGCACTCGTGGACTGGCTACTTCTTCAGGATTCACACGCTCAATAGTACAAAGAATTTTGAAAGACAATAAATTTCACGTACAACATGAAACTTGTCCATGAGCTTAGTGAAGAAGACAATTTTGATACACGGTGTTGGAGTTTGGCGAATTAATGTCCCAACGTTCATCATCAAATCAAATCTGTTATTTAATATTTATTTCTCGGATGAGCGTACTTCTATTTACATGGTGCTGTAAATAGCCATAATTATCGATATTGGAGTGACTCGAATCCACATTGTTTTCGCGAGGTACTCTCGCATATCTTGAAAAAAATAAATGTATGTGCCAGCATTTTCGAAAATGCGAATTACATTCCATTTCCAACAAGATGGTGCACCGCCGGACTATGTGGCTCGAGTACGACAGTTTTTGGAGGCCCATTTCCCAATCAGTGGATCGGCAGACGAGGCCCATCGACAGGCCGCCGAGATTACTTTCTTGGGGGCATTTCAAAAATAAAGTCTTTAGTACGAAGCCAGATTACAATCAAGATCGTCAGCGGATACGGCTGAATGTAGACAAATAGCTCAAGACATGCTTGAAAATGTGAGGAATAGAACAAAATCTCATTATTGCATGTAGGTAAATGGACACCACATTCAGCACTTATGACTACATTGACCTACCTCTTTATAGCAATTAATTTTTATTTTATTTAAATGTACGCGTAAATTGTAAGTTTTTTTA